ACACTCAAATGAGATTTAAAGTCATTTAAAGCAATAAAAATAATTTAAATTGAGAAGTGGAAATCATGATCTCATTTGGAAAATGTGACAAGAGTAGACAGTAAGTCTCACTGAGACAGTATGAGACTACTATCTAATGTTAAAACTGTGTAATGGGATCAGTCGAATTGGTAATGAAACTATCAAAAAATCTCATCCTGGTCCCAGACACGGTCACACGGTCAGTCTATTACAGAGCATCTGACAGAGAAATACTTCTCTTACAACATTCATCTCTGACTTTGACATCAAAATCTTAGAAGCAGGTGATCAATCTTGAGAGGATCAAATGAAGATTAGTATGCTTAAGAAGACATTAACTTTCAAACTCTTACAGACTCTTATAAGTGTAAACAAAGACTCAACTTATGAAGGCTTCTGCACACAGCTTCAGACATTGAACAACTGTCTTATCAAGCTTAAGAGTATACTGAACAGTGGCAGAAGATGTTACATCTCAGTCACTCATACATCTGTACTGAAGAATAACAATGATGCAGATGTTATGAATTGAGTAGACTTGAATATCTATATATAAGCAAGAGTCTCTGCTGTCTGAACAGGCTTCTGAGTTTCTGAGATCACTTCTGAAGAAGTTGCTGACTAATATCAATAAGAAGTATGTATTAACTGTAACTGATCAGAGCACATTACTTTCAACTATCAATCAGCCTATGTGCCTTCTCACTCAAAGAATGAATCAGTGCCTGTTCATATCAACCACATTATATTAGAGAAGAATTCAGAAGATAACTATGAGAATACTCTGATGAAACAGAGAAAAGATTAGCTTCTATTCAAATTTACAAGCAGGAGCTTAAAGAGATCAGATAATAACAATTTAAAAAGAAAATGATAATGAATGCAATTCTTGTATCTACTGTGATAGATAACATGTATAATATGAAAGCTATGATAGACAGCAGTCTATATTATTATGCAATGATTAAATCTTTAATTGTAAGATATTATAATCTTCAGTATATTCTCTTACTAAGATCTCAACTTCTCACAGAATTTGATGATTCAAAAGACATTCACACTTATTATATGATAAAACTAAACATTCATGTTGAAGAACATCAATGTGAAAGATGCCTATGCATACAAAGTTAAGAATCTTGACTATAATCTTATGCTAGAACTTGCCTGGCTATCTAAACAAGACATCTTGTTAAATGCTTAAAACAGAAGCTTAATATTTCTGAATAATGATAGAATTCACAAAGATAATATTCACAAGACTATGAATCTTACACAGATCTCTGTCAACACTTATAAAATACTCTGAAAAAGAAGTTATTATCAAAACTGCTGACAGAGTTACTGACAAAGTCATCAATAATAGAATCATGTATCAATTTATTTCACCAGTCTGGCCAATATCAAGAAAGCTCTAGAATAGTTATTCTGTACTATAATAATAGATTCTCACACAAAACTCTCTTAATAATATCATGAATACCTAGATGTCTTCTGATAAGATAATATTATGAATATACTCTCTTTACAAGACTTAGAAGTGAATCACAGTATTAAGTTAGAAAAGAAGAATAATAAGAACTCAGAGTCACTGTGAGGCCCTCTTTATAATATGTCTCAAGATAAACTTCTCCTTCTTCAGAAGACACTCAATAATCTGTTGAATAAGAGATTTATATATATTAGTAACTCTTCTGCTGCAGCTTCTATTCTCTTTGTAAAGAAGTCAGATAAAGAACTCTGATTCTGTGTGAACTATTAAGATCTGAACAGATTGATAAAGAAAGATCATTATCTCTTATCTCTTATCAATGAAACTCTAGTATATATCAGATAAGCTCAATGATTTACAAAGCTAGATATCATTGCTGTGTTTCATAAGATTCATATTACTGAAGAAGATAAATGACTTACAGTATTTCAAACATATTATAACCTCTTTAAATAAGTAGTTACATTCTTTGAACTGACTAACACTCTCAGTATATTTCAGAAGTATATCAACTGAGTACACTGAGATTTTCTTAATGAGTTTACATCTGCTTATCTAGATGATATTCTCATCTTTATCAATGAATTCAGAAAAGAGTATCAAGAGTATATGCAAAGAGTATTACAATGACTATAAGAAGCAGAACTATCAATCAATATTGATAAGTGTGATTTTAAAGTTAAGAGTACTAAATACTTATATTTCATCATAGAAGCTGATAAGAAGATTCAAATGAATTCTGAGAAGATCTCTGCTATTCTTAAATAAGAAGCTTCATATACTGTGAAAGATGTATAAAGCTTCATTGAATTCACTAACTTCTATCAGCAATTTATACAAAACTTCTCAGATATTACAAGATCACTTACAGAACTCACTAAGAAAGACTTAGTATTTCAATGATTAGTAGACACTGAAGCTGCATTTATACAGATGAAGAAGATATTTATTAATACTTCTCTGCTGATAATATTTGATTCTGATCATGAAATAGTTATTGAAGCTGATTTCTCTGACTATATCATAGAAGAAGCTATATTGTAATATAATGATAAAGATGTCTTACAATTATATATCTTCATGTCTAAGAAACTGAGTCCTGCTGAATGCAATTATGAGATCTATGATAAGAAACTTCTTATAATTATACACTGTTTAGAAGAATGAGACTCTGAACTCTGAAGTATCTCTGAATTTGAGATAATCACAGATCATAAGAATCTCAAATACTTTACAACTACTTATAAACTTACTGAATAATAGATGCAATGATCTGAGTTTCTAAGCTACTTTCATTTTACAATACACTACCGCCCTGGCAGTCGGAACTCAATGACAGATGCACTCTTATAACAAGAACAAGATATACTGTCTGATGTGATAGACACACACTGAATGAATTCAGAACACTGACTCTTGAACTCAAAGATATTAGTTGATCACAATGAGATCACTCATGACACTATACACACTGCTTTAATTAGAACACTTTCTTTCTGAACTGACACTGATATCTTCACTTCTTCTACACTGAATGAACTGTGGTATACAGCAGCTCAGACTGATGAACTTCTTCAAACTCTTACTGAAGCAGTATAACAAGAAGTATCTCAATTCCCTCTAGAATTATATATAAAGACTGACATCTCAGAATGTTTAATAGATGATAGTAATAC